GCACGGTGCAGGGGCGGCAGAGACAGGAAGGTCCCTGGGCTCATTTGTTAGGAAGTCTGCTTTAGTTGGGCTGTGGTGGTGCATTCCTTTAATCTGAGCCCTCAGGAGGCAGAAGCAGGTGGATCTCTGGTCCACAGAGCGAGTGTCAGGACAGGCTCCAAAGCTACAGAGAAACTCTGTCTCAAAAAACCAAAACAAAAGGAAGTCTACTTTAATTGGTGGGAGGGAGACCCTGTCTTAGATAACAAGGTTGGGAGATGGGGAGATATTTTGGTGGGTACATTTGTGTATAGTGCAAGTCATTAGACCTGACTTGAGATCCCCAGAGTATACCTAAAAGCTGGACACAGCAGCACTTGATGTAATCCCACTATGCCCTATAAGAAACAGAACTGCCTGAAGCTCTTAGGCTAACTGGCTGGCATATACAGTAGTGAACAAAAAGAGACCCTGCCTCAAACAAGGCTTGAGTTCATCCTTTTACATGTTAACACATATGCACACATACACTTATATGTAATAGTCCTTTTTGTCCCACTAGCCAGCTCCCAAATAATGACACAGAGACATATTAATTATGAAAGCTTAGTCTTAGTTTAGGCTTATTCCACTAGCTCTTATAACTTAAATAAATAACTTAATTATTTATCAATCTATGTTCTACCATGTGGCTTTTACCTCTCTCCCATTCTAAGTGTCTGACTCTTCCACATTTGTCTGGCGTCTTTGTCTCTCTTCTTCCCAGAGTCCTCTCTGTGCCTGCAAATCCTGCCTATACCTCCTGCCTAGCTCTTTTATTTAGCTCTTTAGCTCTTTATTAAACCAATCAGAAGGTGCCTTGACAAACATACATCTTCACAATGTAAAAAAAGATTATTCCACAACACTTATATACATCACAAACACATTATACATATATAACACACATTATACATACATAGCACACATATTTATATGCAACACACATACATATACAACACACATACTACACGTATATAACACACATACATTAAATACATACACATATGCGCACAAATCAGGAAGACATTAAGAAAGAATCCCAACATTGATGATCTCTCTCTCTCTCTCTCTCTCTCTCTCTCTCTCTCTCTGTGTGTGTGTGTGTGTGTGTGTGTGTGTGTGTGTGTGTGTGTGTGTGTGTGTGAACACACACACACACACACACACACAAGCACTCACTCACATGCAAACATACACACACAAACATGCACACACAAATATACCACACATTAATGCAAAAAAATAATTTAAAACAGGGAATGGTTTGATCCCATGGGTCACCTGGGAAACAGAGGCACAAGGATCTTTAAGGTCAGCCTGGTCTAAATAGCAAGTTTGAGACCAGCTAGGGCTACATAATGAGACTTTTGTCTCAAATTCTTAAAAAAAAAAAAAAACAAAACTGTGAATGCAGAGCCGTTGCAGTCCTCTGGGAGGCAGCTCAGCAGAGGGCTGCCTGGAGCAGTAGGAATTGTGGAGCTCTCCCTGAAAGCTTCTTAGGTACCCTCACCAAGGGCAAGCGCCCAGTGCCATTTGCAGGGATTATGTCCTTTTTCCTGTGCTGTAGGGCTGTGGGTGGGGTGGGGTATGCAACCAGAAGAGCAAATTGATGTGTAAACAAGGGGATCTTCTGTTGTTGTTGTTTTTAATTTCATGTATGGGAATTTTGACTGCATGTATGTTTGTGCACCACATCCATGCCCCTGTCCACAAAGACCAGAAGAGGTGGTTGGATCCCCTAGGAATGAGTTACAAGAGGATGGTAGCAACCATGTGGGTGCTGGGAATCCAACCCAGGTCCTGGGTGCTAGTTAAAAGCCTGCGGTGCCTTTAACTGCTGAGCCATCTCTCCAACCCTATGGAAACACAGAAAGGGTGGTGTAGAGAAAAAGGAAGAGAGGGACATTTGAGTTCTTCTCCCCACTTTCTGTTCACTTCAAAGAAGCTAGTGTACAAGCCTAACAGCCTCAGTAAGCTAGTGCCCACTGGCCTGAAAATAAACCTGCCTTCCTTCCTCCTCTCCTTACCGGGGTTGGTGTAGGGACTGGGGGTGGGGGAGTGCTTGGGGTTGGGAACCGACAGGGTAGGACCATGACCAGGTGACAAAATCTACATTGTGAGATTTAATTCAAATCACTGCTTGGGAACTGATTCATTAAGGATTGGAAGACTTCCTTTGAAATGTTGGCTGCAACAGCAGGCAAGAATGGCAGGTTTCTACTTACAAGACTGATCAGCAGTCCTGAGCTGCAGGCATCACCAGGTAAACAGTGAGGAGAGCAGCAACAGAAGCACTTCCCCAGAAGCCTTTCTCCCCAGGGGAGTGGCTCAGGATACCTGGAGGAGAGCCACTAGGGGTGGTGGCTTGGAAGGACAGTCCAGTATTTCTAAAACTCCAGTTCTGATGAAAATTGGACACGTTGGGCCATTTGGTTCCTTTAGATTTTCTGGGCTGGATGTTTTCACTCCTCTGGGTTTTCACATGCTATGGGGAGAAGGCACTGAACTTAGATCTGGATGTGCTGATTTTCACCCTAGAGGTGTATAGACTTGGCTGGTATAGCCTGGGAAGCTTCACATGAACCTTGGTTCAATCACTGGCTAATGCTCAACTCAAGTAAGTCACAGCCTGTGTCTGTAAGGAAAGGATGTGTTCGGCAGACTCCCATCCTTAAAGTCAAGTTCAAAAGCATTAAGACAACATTTATATTGTCAGCCCTGATTTGCTTTGTTTTGCTTTTCAAGTTTTTGAGATTATGTAGCCCAGCCGACCTGGAAATCATTATGCAGGCCAGGCTGGGCTTGGCTTTCAGCAATCGGCTGGCCTCTGCCTCCCTAGTGCATCACCACACCCAGCTTCTTGTTTTTGTTGTTTGGTGTGTATGGTGCATGCCTGCTTTGAGTATGGCTGTGTGAGCAGGCTAGAGGACATGCTACACCTGCCTCTATCAACCACCCTCATCGCCTCAGGATAGGGTACCTCAATCAAACTGAAGTTCACCAGAGCTGCTGGACTGGCTGACCACTGAGCTCCCAGGATCCATCTGCCTCTTTCCCCTAATACAGGGGCTAAAGGCATAAATGGCCATGTCTGACGTTTTCTTTGGGTGCTGGGGATTTGAACTCAGGTCCTCACGCTTGCACAGCAAGTTCCTTTGTACCCTGAGCCACTTTCTTAGCTTATTGTTTTACATTTAATTTTTTTTTTCTGTTTTTGAGAAAAGGTCTCATGTAGCCCTGGCTGTCATGAAACCAGATAGGTAAATCAGGCTGGCCTCAAATTCACAGACTGGTCTGCCTCCGGGGTACTGGGATTAAAGGCATGTGATATAACACTCTACAAATTGAATTTATGTATTTATTTTTTAAACTTTATTATATTTTACTTATTCAGTGTGTATGTGTGTGTGTTTGCATGTGCATAGCATACATACTGAGGTCAGAGAACAACTTTAAAGAGTTGATTCTCTTCTACCATGTGGGTCCCTGGGACCAAACTCAGGTCTTCAGGTTTGGCAGCAAGTGCCTTTACCCACTGAGTCATCTCACTGGCCCTTGAATTTGTTTTCCACACAGAAAAAAATTAAAAATTGTACATACTAACACCACCCCAAACTGTGAAGCCTGTGTGACATCACTCCACTCTGCCCTGCTGGTCACTGTAAGAAATGAAATTGTAGCCATAGCCAATGCATCCCAGAGGCTTGGTGATGACAGAGCATTGCTACTCCATAAGGCTGCTCACCCTGTCTGGCGCTATTTCTTCAACTGTGAGCAGTGGCCACAGGGCTACTAGAGAGAACACGCCATCCTGCCTGAAATGCCTGGCGTGTCTTGGAGGAGTTCAAGCAGTGCTGGGAGTCTGTCAGCCCATCTGGGCACTGCCTTCCAGAAGTGTCCTGTGCTTCTCCCCCCCTCCCCAATTTGCTCAAGGTGAGACCATCTTTCCCAGCTCTTGTCAGAGAGCAAACAGGAACATGAGAACTTAGTCACCCAGGGAGAAAGCCCCTTCTGCCTGCAGAAGATTAGGCTTCTAGGGCCTATGATGTGAGTGGACTCAGTGCCTCGTCCTTAAGGACTCCACAGAAAGGATACCCACTTACTGCCTTAGTGCCAGAATTTGGAGCTGAAATACAGGAGAGAACAGCCTACCTGAGCTCAACCTCCTAGTGTGGCTTGGACCCTTGGGCGGGGGGCAGGGAGGCTCTTCTTTTCCTCCTTCCTCACTGTTACAGCAGACCCTGTTGGCCCTTCTCTGGGCACCATTGCTGAGTGTGAGACAGCTCACACCTGTAATCCCAGCACTTGTGAGGCAGAGGAGGACTGGGATTTCATCAGACCCTGGCTACATCAAGAGTTCAAGGCCAGACTGGGCAATAGAAGACCCTCCCACAGAGAACATGATTCTCCCATAGAGAATCAATGAAAGTCTAGCTGGTAAAATGCTGACAATTGTTAATACTGTGAGCTCAGCTTATTTATTTTTATCTTTTGAGACAGGGTTTCTCTATAGCTTTGGAGCCTGTCCTGGAACTCTCTGTAGACTAGGCTGTTCTTGAACTCCCAGAGATCTGCCTGACTTTGCCTTCCCAGTGCTGGGATTAAAGGCAGAGCTCAGTTTATTAAATTCACAATTTTTATGCATAGTTGAACTTTCTTGTGATACAGTCTTGTATTGAACAAACTCACTCACTTCTGGGAATTTTCATATTTTTTTTTTTTTTTTTGAGTTTCTCTGTGTAGCCCTGCCTGTTGTGGAAATTGCTTACAGTCCAGGTTGGCTTTAAACTCCAAACTCAGATCGACCTACTCTGCCTCCTAGTGCTGTGACTAAAGGAGTGAGCCACCACTGCCTGGCTCATAATTTGTATCTTAAAGAAAAAGCTTCACATAGCCATTTTCAAATCACAATAGTCAAAACTGGGAACACATTTAAGGTCTCATAGTAGGTGAATCACAAACTATGGAGCATCCCTCAGTGGAAGTTTACATGATTAAAAGCGTTTATTCAGATATGTGTGAATAGTGAAAACATGATGTATGATTAAGTAAAAACCCAAGACATTAAACAGTATATACTACACTGTAATGTAGACTGGTGTCTTTAAAAAAATTGAATTACCAAAACAACTTGATATACTCAGAATGCGGTTTCTCCTCCCACCTCAAGCACAATGGGCTGGCTGCTCACCCAAGCCAGTACCAGTCTCTGCTTTAACCCCTCCTCTCACCCATCTCCTCATAAACACAGCCAGATCTTCCTCTTCTGTCCAAAACCCATGAGGAGGCCCTGTGGTCCCACACAAAGTCAAGTCTCTGGGATGCCACCTTTCTGCCTGTCCACAGCTGTTCCTGCAGTCTCGATGATCGATCCCTTGCTACAGCCCTCTCCAGCCTCTGGGTCTTGGCAGGTGCCATACTTGCTGCTGGGAGTGTGCGGCCTCCTTGGCTGAGAATGTTCTCCTTTTATTAAAATGGCTTCCTTGTCACGCACCCTCGGCTTTTCTTCACAGCACTTCCCTTCCACAGTACAAATGCTTTGCCTCCTTCCTTTCTGAGCAATCCCGATCCTTTGAACTTTCTCTGCCGCATCCTCCCTTCCTTGCACACAGTAGGTGATCAGTAAACTTCCTGAATGAAATCAGGGATCTATCCAGAGGCTGGAAGCTACTAGAGGGCTTCCTGTTTGTCTCTTCCTCCTAGAGGTGGCAGCAGAAGCCAACAGCAGGTATGCAGCAGCAGCATGGTGGCCCACAACGGCCACATAGGGGACTTGGTCTCTTTCATGTTTATAACGTGCACTAGCTGACTTGAAACTTACCACCTGTCAGATAACACTGACAGGGGAGAAACTGGGACAAAGAGTACAGTGCTTGCCACAGGCAAGAGTCCCAGTACCCACTCCCAGGAACACTGTGCCACTAGGATGGTCTGCACAGCCACCCACCAAGGCACCAGCCTCTCAAGGTCCATGTGCAAGGCAAGATTTAGATCCACCCAATCAAGGCTCTCAGGCTCTGGGTAATGAGAACTGCAGCCTCAGAAGCACTTCACCACACTGACAGGCAGTGCACTGGCTGGAAGGGCAAAGGCTGTTTCCAAGCTGGGGCTTCCCAACTTCTATGCACTAATGGAGGCTTGGCAAGCAGACCTTGGGGAATAACTACAGGCATAGGCTTCGAGAAGGACCTTACAGACAACAGTCTTCAGAGCACCCTGCTTGCCCAGACAGCCTGACCAGCCCAGTTATGGTGCTGGTGTCCTAAGACCGTCACCCGCTGTGCGAGCACTAGCCTGTGGCAGAGCACAACACAACATGACTGATAACTCCAGCCTGTAGTGTTCATCACAGAGGAGCCCAGGGATGAGCCTGGCAGTGGGGATGAGTCCCTGAAAAGCGGCCAAGGCCCACCTTCTCCTTGGCTTTGTCTGTATTTATAAGGTCACTTTAGGTATCTGTGCTAAGGGATTCCACTGATTTTTAAAAACAAGGGGGAGTTTTCAAGTAGTCATGGCTTTGCATCAAAACTATAGAGATCAGTTGAGTGTCCTGGCACACACCTATAATCTCAGCACTGAAGGAGGTAGAAGCAGGAGGACCAGGAGTTCAAGGCCAGCCTCGGCTATGAGATCATCTTAACCTCACTGCTTCTTCCCTCCCTAACTCCCAAGCCGAGAAACCCTATAAAAAAAATCTTCCTCTTTATAAAGTAACTGCTTGAGAGAGAGAGAGAGAGAGTTCAGCACTGCAGGCTGCTCAGAGCAGGGCAAGCCGCAGGCCAGAGGTGGGCTGCTCTGTATGTGTGTGTTCTCTGGAAGCACATGGGACATGGAAGCCTGTGCCTGGGATGGCATGTCTACCTTCTTCTTCTAGGAAGTCCCTGGGACTGTCCTCCATCTTTGGCAGGAGACAAGAGGAGCTTGCAGTCCCAGGAGCACCCTTAGCTGCCATGCCTGGCTGGGGGCTCCAGGTGTGATCAAAATTCATCCCGTGGCTGAGAGGGTCTATCCATGCCAAAGAAGGAAGACTGCCTCCCATGGAGGTCCCGCTCCCGCTTCACGAAGGCAGTGAATGAGGAGACGCAGTTGCCAATGAAGTGGTCAGCCTGGCCAAGGATGTACAGGTCGACCTGGGCCACCTCAGGTTTCAGGCTCACCACCTTCACCTGCAGGGAAGAAGGTAAGAGCATGAGCAGGTCCTCAGGCAGGGGAAGCTGAGCCAAGGCCAATGGGCTACAGGCTAGCTCAATTAGTAGAGTGTGAGACTCTTCCTCTCAGGATCAGTGTTTGTGCCCCACGTTGGGTTCCAGATGAAGTGTTAATCTCATCAATAAAAATTAATCTCATCAATAAAAATCTGGAGTCAGATATCAGGGTAAAAACTGAAAGATCAGAGAAGCAGAGCAGCAGCCACCAGAGACTTCTTACCTCTCTTAATTATCCAACCAAAAAGGGCTGAGATCTTCTTCCTGTTCTGCCTTCTCACTTCCTGTCTCTTGTCTATAGTCCTCCAAACCTCTATGGTTAACTAGTGGCTAGCTCTGCCCTCTGACTCCAAGCAAGCTTTATTTGTCAGAACATAAACAAAATATCACACAACACCTCTCTTGACTGAAGTTTCAGACAAAGGGAGGATTGGAGAGGATGAAGATGTGGGCTGGTGAGCCCTGTCTCCCAGCCCAGTTCGCTGAGCACCGTTCTTGCTGGTGCCTACCCTACAGTGCCCTCACAACTCATTAAAGCTGCCCAGTACTACACAAGGCCCTGGGGTCTATGCCCAGCATCAAATAAACCTCCCAAGAAACTCCTCAAGCCAGCTCATGCACTGCCTGCTTGGCAAAGAGCATGAAGACACCTTGTCTTGCTGACAAGATGCCCTCCTCTTTCAAGCAGCATTCCCAGGTTCAATGTTCTGTCCAATTTATCCACTCCTGAGACCTTTGCAAAGGTAAGTCATTGGCCTCTTTCCTGTCTCTTACTGCCTCATCTGATCTGGTCACTACAGAACTGCCATAAGAAACTTCTGAGATACCCATCTCCCTGTCCTCACGCTATCCAAGCTCCATACTCTTTACAGGTGCCCTGGGCCTTCCAGATAAGGGTGGCAAGTCATCAATGCACTGATAAGGCCTGCTTAGGCTGGCTCTCCAATCACCCACTGTCCTTAGGGCGACAGCCACCATCTGACTAGCTCGCTCCCTTTTTGCTTCTCCTTAGGACCTTTACAAATACTGCTCTGCTACGGAGTACCCTGGCTAGTTTTATGTCAATTTGAAATAGTCAGAGTCACCAGAGCAGAGGGAGCCTTGGTTGAGAAAATGCCTCCATAAGACTAGGCTGTAAGCAAGCTGTAGACTATTTTCTTCATTAGTGATTGATGTGAGAAGGCTCCCATTCTGGGTGGTGCCAATCCTGGGCTGGTGCCCTGGGTTCTAATAAGAGAGCAGGCTAGCCAGGTGGTGGTGGCACACAACTTTAATCCCAGCACTTGGGAGGCAAACGTGGGTGGATCTCTTTGAATTCAAGGCCTGGCCTACAGAACTAGTTCCAGGAGAACCGGGGCTATACAAAGGAACCCTGTCTCAAAAAACAAAATCTAAAAAACAACAAGAACAAAAAAAAAAAAAAAAAAAAAAAAAAAATCAGGTTGAGCAAGCCAGTAGGCAGCACCCCTCCATGGCCTCTGTATCAGCTCCTGCGTCCAGGTTTCTCCCCTGTGCTGGGGTCCTAGCTTCACTTCCTTTAATGATGAACAGTGATGTGGAAGCTCAAGCCAAATATCCCTTCCCCAACTTACTTTTGGCCATGGTGTTTTATCACGTCACTTGTAACCATAACTAAGACATGGGGTAAACCTGGATAATTCTGATAACCCTTTACTTCTCAAATCATGTGGCACACCTCTAAGGAAGCCTTTCCTTCCCCAGGCCCACCAGGCTGCAACCCTGTGCTCTACTCTTAGAGCACCCCTCCTCTCCCCCCCCCCCATCTGTAGCTCTCACTCCTCAGTGGCACTTTAACACCCTGTCCTGCTGGACCTGAGCTGGACCTTTGCTGTTCTGCTCAGTCTCAACAGACACTGGTTGAACAAACCTTATCCTCACTACTGTTTGCAGACCCACAAAGTCTTCCCAGTCTAGGCTGTGGCCCTGAAGGCAGCACCACATGACATTAATTTGGGTTCCTAATTTAAAGGTATAAGGCATCACTCAGAACAAAGCAGGGGACCAGGGGAGGTTGCTCTGTCAGAAAAATGTTTGCAAGCAAAAAGACAGGAGTTTGATCTCCAGAATGTATATTTAGAAATCACGGCTGCCACTCATTTTTAGTCCCAGCACCCAGGAGGCAGAGGCAGGTGGATCTCCTTGAGTTCAAAACCAGACACAGCTACACAGTGAGACTCAGTTTTTTGTTTTTTTAAGAAAGTAAGCTAGTTTAGTGTTGTGTGCTTAAAATTCCCAGCACTGGGAAAAGAGACTGAACTTGCTGGACTGCCAGCCTGGTCTACTTGGAAAGCTTCAGGCCAGTGAGAGAGCTTGCCTCACAACAAAAGGTAAATGGTACCTGACACCCGCACACAAATTTGCACATGTGTGGACATGTACACAAATGTCACACATCAAAAAGGGGAGGAGGAGCATAGACTCTGAGCCCATGGAAAATGGGGCTGAATGGGGGTGGGGCAATGAGCCCACAGAAATGAGGCTGAGGGGTGGGGGTGGGGCAAGAGCACCAGCACAGGAACAGGAAGTAGGAAATACCAAGAGGCTTACGGCCTACAAATGCATCAGCCCTAAAGCTCATGAAAACTCCCTGGGACTCTCCATGCTTCAGCTTTGTGCAGGTGAGGGGTGAGCAAAGGTGCCTGAAAGTGTTCTGCCGTTGCACTAAGGTTTCTGACATCATGAGCCTTGCTGCCTGGGTTGTAGTAAAGACACTATCTCGGCCAAAACCCCCCAAACAATCCCACCCATTCCCTGAACTTACCCCCGCCGTCACTCCAGGCACAACTGGCTCTGAGACCTCTTAGGTAAACTCTGCCCCTTTTCAGCAGCTCTCCTCAACTACAGCATGCAGGGTGGAGTGAGAAGACTTGAGGTCTCTCAGCTGAGTTTCTATTGAGGCATGGGCAGGGCAGACCAGAAGGCACTGGCCCCACACTTCCTCGTTGGTTGGGGCATCTTTTTTTTAGGGGGTGGAGCAAGTGAAAGGACAGAAAGGCGCCCAATGACATAGGGCTGGTAGCTCCCAATGTCTGACTCCCCCTTGATTTTACACATTCATATTAATAAAGTAAATATTCTCCTCTTATCTGTTTTCATATGCTGGAGGTCTTGGTCAGACTTGAAAACACTTTTGCATAAGTCCTTGACAACCTCTAAACTATTCTTGGTCACACATTTTTTAAAAATCATCTTTCTATCATCTTCCTTTTAGGCCTGCCCAGTGGGAGGTTGTCAGTCACTCTGGTGTCCTGAGTGCTCTCTAGTCACTCAGCCACCACACAGAGGCACACTCACTTATCACCCTGGTACTGGAAACACCCGCCAAGCAAATTCTGCTGTTGGGCAGCACTTCCTGAAACAGTCACTACACACGAGATCTTCCCCTTCATTCATTTCTGGTGCTAACTAGAGCAACTTACTGAATGTTATTTTACAGATCCTGACAAATGCTGTCGAAGACAGGTGCGATCTTGTCCTACTCTATTATGAAGAAACAAAGAGAGCTCAGGGAACTTTTGCAAGGCTGCACAATGAATAGAAGACAAGTCTCCAGTGTATATTCCTTTCTTTTTATTTCAAGACAAGGTTTCTCTGTGTAGCCTTGGCTGTTCTGGAACTCACTCTGTAGACCAGGCTGGTTTTGAACTCACAAAGTTCTGCCTGCCTCTGCCTCCCGAGTGCTGGGATTAGAGGTGTGCACCACCACCACCTGGCCAGAGCATATTTCTTAAGCCAGGTGTGATGGTGCAGGCCTGTAACCCAGCACTTGGAAGTGGAGGCAAGAAAATCAGGAGTTCAAGGTCATCGTCAGCCACATATTACATTTTTTGCCAGTCTAGATTACATGAGACCTGATCCTGCCTCAAGAATAAAATTAAACCAAAACAGAGTATATGTTCTTAACTTCTCAGCAATTATGAATCCCTTCTCAGAGTCCACTGTGTCTTTATTCAACAAAACATCTGTACCGTGTGTCAGGCACTGTCCTAGACACCATGATGGTGACAGCCTCCAGAGGTCAGACACCACGATAAACCTCAAAGAACACAAGAGTGGGTCTACACTAGTCTTGAATGGTCTAGAAAGCACCTCAAGGAAAGAAAGGGCCATGGGAGGCTCCAGGAGGCATGCATGAGCCTCTGGAGTGGAATGGAAACTGAAGAGAACTCAAGGATGTTTGCGTTGTAGATGGAAGGAAGGTTAGGAATCACAGAGGAGTGTGTAGCCAGCAAAGGGCTGGTGTGGGGAGCATGAGGCAGGCATTAGAGCTGAGGGACTAGCAGACCCTTGTTTCTATTCCCTCCCCGCTGCACTCCCTCCAGGCCAGGCATACCTTCTCTTTGAAGAGCTGCTGGATCTCTGGCACATAGCTCTCAGAGTCTGTAGCAATGTAGATTGACCTGGCATTCAGTGCCCTCACCCACAGCTTCACAGCCCGCTGGATTTCATTAAGGTCAGGGAGGCACATGGTCATGGTGAGGGGGGTCGCTGTGCTTCGGCTGTAGCCCACACACTGAGGGGAAGCCATGAAGTGTGACCCTGCAGTTCCGTCCTTCAGCATGGCACAGGCATTCTTCTACAGGGAGGGGTTGGCAGAGAAAAGTTAAGAGAAGCAGCTGTCTTGGACCTCAGCACAGGAATGGGTAAGTGGGTAAGGACTACACAGGAGGAGGAACCTAGTGCTTACACACACACACACACACAGAGAGACACACACACACAGAGTAAGTGGGTAAGGATTACACAGGAGGAGGAACTAGTGCTTACACACACAGACACACACACACACACACAGAGTAAGTGGGTAAGGACTACACAGGAGGAGGAACCTAGTGCTTGTACACACACATACACAGACACACAGACACACAGACACACACACACACACACACACACAGAGTAAGTGGGTAAGGACTACACAGGAGGAGGAACCTAGTGCTTACACACACACACACACACACAGAGATGAGCCTAGGACTTTGTGCATGCTAAGCACTATGTTCTACCCCCTAACAGACACCCTAACAGACATATATTAATAGCATCTGTAATCTCAGCACTTGGGAGATTGATGGGGCAGGATCAAGAAGTTAAGGCAAACCTGGGCTACACAGAATCTTAGAGTGGGGATATACCAAAATAACACTGGTTATTTCTGAGTGGGGTGTGAAAAGCATTTTCTGTTCTCATTGTTATCTGGGACTTCAGTGGAGCTCAGCACTGCCGATAAGGAGGCTTATCTGATTCCTGATGAGGTGGGACTTCTGATCACTCCCATGAGGCTCATGTTTGCTATGGTTCCAGGGAGATAGGCTTTATCTGGCTAAGGTGGGTCCAGGCTATTTCTGGCTGGTTATGAGTTTTTCTCATACACTTGACTTTTATCGAGCTCTTTCTTATCCTCTAACGAGATGACTACAGGGTTTTTCTTCTTGGATATCAGAACAATGAATTTAATTCCTGGGATAGACTTTCTTGTTAATATTTTACTTTGGATCTATGCTCCCATGTTTACCAATTAAGAAGTTTTATCTAAATTTGGTTATTAGTTTAGGTTAGCTTAATTTAAAAAAAAAAAAGCCCCCCCCACACACAAGTTTTTTAGTAGTACTGGGATGGAACTCAGGGCTTTGTGCATGCTAGACAAATGCTCTACCACTAAGTTACATCCCCAGTCTTGAGCATCTTTTATCTTCTATGTTCCAGGAAGGCACAGATGGTACCTCACAGACTACTCACAGAATATCCTAAGCCCAATCCTTGGATCCTTTTCCTTACAGAGGGGACAGGGAGAGTCTAGAGGCTAACTGTGAGATTACTTCATCAATTACTATTAATCATGTGTGTGGTGATGGGAATAAGACTCTGGCCTTGCCTCTATGAGGCAAACGCTCTACCACTCAGCCACACTCCCAGTTCTACTAATGAATGTAACCTAATTTTTGTTTCAGAACCTTTCACTCTTCAATTATGTGCATCTCCTAACATATCTACATATCTCCCTAGGTATATGAAAGACACTGTCTGTATAGATATGATGTTTTGAATAAATGGTAATCTGATGAGGTTTTAACACATTCACAGACTCCAAATTCTGGGAGGATAAAAATACCCTAACTTCTGAGGAGACCTATCTGGTTGCCACAGTCCACTCACACTCTCTGTTTCTTTCCTTCCTTCCTTTCTGTTTCTTTCCAAAACAGGGTTTTCCTGTGTGGCCCTGGCTATCAATGGCTTCAAATTCAGAGATCTGCCTGCCTCTGCCTCTGGGATTAAAGATGTGCACCACCATCACCAGGGTCCACAGTTCATGTTTTCTTTTCTTTTCTTTTTTTTTTTTTTTGGAGGGGGTGATTTTCGAGACAGGGTATGTCCTGGAACTCCCAGAGATCTGCCTGGCTCTGCCCCCCTGAGTGTTGGGATTAAGTGCGTGCACCACCCCCACAGCCACACTTCATTTTCACCAGCAATCTAGTGGCTAACTGAAGTGAGGCAGAGGATTCCTAGGCCAACAGCCTCTCTCTAGCTTTCTGCCTAGTTTGGGATTTGACTTAATGCCTCAGTTTACCCATCTGCAAACACAAGGGTACAAACAGCAGCTCTTAAATGCTAGCTTTCCAGCAGGTACTCTAGATCCATACATCTGACATGTGCTATAGTAGTAAGATCATGAGATATAATCCAGACTTGGTAGAGTTACTGCTCCAGGCTGAGACTTTCCACCAATCACTACAGGCCTGGGCTCTGCTTAGGCAAATGTCAGCCAGAGAGAGGAAGAGGAAGTTACCCAGTCGGAGCCAATGCGCAGATGAATGCCCACATAGGGCCGGATGAGGTGGGTGCTGATCTGGGCCTCTCCGGTCTTCACCATCTCATCTGACCACACCATGTACTTCTGTAGTGCCCTGTGTTCCTCTAGGACAGGGAACTGGGCTGGGGCCCCTGGCAGTGCAAGCACCGGATGTTCCTCTGGAGGAAATCTAGGCATAAGATGGACAAGGGGAAGTCAGACAGTATGCACAGACAACCCTGCTGGCTACCCCCACGGGAAAAAGGATGGCATTGCACCATGCCCCAGAGACCCTGTGGGGAGGCCCCTATAACATGCAAGAGGCGCAAAGGTTGTGAAATCTCAACGGGCTGATAAGAAACCTTGGTGGAGACAGCAGGCACAATATGCAATACTGTTCCTGCTGCACAGAATTTACAACCTTCTTTGCTTGTTTAACAATTAAAAATTTACAGTAGAGCATTCCAACATTTTATATATCATGCTGGCTTCCAATCTGTGGTGTGGTAATTCATTCCAGGGTGGGGTGTCTGGACCAAGCCTTGCCCTTTTACCCACACGGCGGGACTGAGACATGAAGCTGCTTACACAGACAATGTTGGTTCCTCTCGTAAGGACTGTGCACACGGGATTAGGCCAGTCTCTTAGCACTTAGCAAATACTTACTGATTGTCTGTGTCAGGCCCAGGAAGATGAGACCAGCATGATGCCTACCCTTATGTGGTATACCAAAGGTCTGCAGATAAACTCAGCACACCCTCACAAGAATCTTCCCCACCACACAAAATCCTTTCTGCAGTTTTTCCGCATCTTCTCTTCTGCTAGGCCAGGCTCCATTCCCAGTGCTTTCCGTGTGCCTCAACCACTGCTTGAAGCATGTGAGGGCTCGGTAAACCAAAGAGTAGTAAACCTGTTGTTTCCTTTTCAGTTCAACCCAGACCCAGTTCAGCAACATAAAGCACTTTGCTGCCCATGAACTGGCAATGCACTTTCTGACTCCAGACTTCTGCATCTGTCCCCACCTGAAACATCTTCCCCAACTGCTAAAATTCCTTCTAGACATTACAACCAAGTGCAGCTACTCTGGAAATGTTTGCAGTTAATTTCTCATGAAATTAGACATGCAATTATAATATGACCCAGTGATGGCACTTCCGGGCATTTATCCAAGGAAATGAAAGCTTGTATTCACACACAAACATGTACACTAATGCTCACAGCAGCTTTAATTCCAACTGTCCTAAACTGGAAACAATTCAGATAGAAATAATAGACATCCACTCCATGAATAGCACAGTCAGTGCCATAAAAAGCATGGGTTATCAGCACAAGCTATGAATCTTAAGAGAATTATTCTAAGTGAAAAAAAGTCAATCTCAGCAGGACACAAACCATGACTCTATTTACATACTTTTGAAAGGGCAAAGGGAGAAAAGGCCAATGGCTGCTGGAGTTAGGGAAGGTGTGAGTTTAGGAAGGCAGGTATAGTAAGAAGCTTGCAATATAAAGATATTTACATTGAAAGAACCACTCAGTATCTTAACTGTGGTACTGGATATATAAATCTACACTATACATACAGGACTAACATATACATACACACAGTTGTATGTAAGTTTAAAAAAAGATGATTTGAACAAACAGGATTATATCATTGTCAAGATCCTGGCTAGAATACTAAGTCAAGGGTGTATGATGAGATCTCTCTAAACTGTTTATCACAACTGCATGTGGATATACAATCACCTAAAAAATTTTTTTAAATAAAAATTATGAAAGGGCTGGCAAAATGACCCATGGGATAAAGGCGCCTACCAAGCAAGCCATATGACCTGAGTTAAATTTCCAGGTCCACAGGAAAAAAGGATAAAACTGACTCTAATAAGTTGTCCTCTGTGTGCTGCCCTTCCAAATCAATGCAATGAAAGTAACACACACACACACACACACACACACACACACACACACACACACACATTCATGGAATATTGTAACCCCTAAAAAAATAGTGCCCATGCCCATGGCCTACAGACACTAATAGTGTATTTTGTTTCTGAGTTTAAAACATACGCAACTAGGGCTGGTGAGATGGCTCAGAGGGTAAAGGCATTTGCTACCAAACCTGACGACTTCAGCTGATTCCCTGGAATCCACACTGAATCCATGAGAGAACCAACTTCTGTTAGCTGTACACACACACACACACACGCACGCACGCACGCGCACGCGCGCACACTCCAAAGTAAATTTTACTTCACCACCTCTTTCCCTTCTTTTTTCTCCCTCCCTGAAGATGTTTTCATGTATGAGTCTATCCATGCCTTAACTTCCTTGTCTATATAACAGAAAATAGTCCTACCCCATAACACCATTAAAAAACACAGCTACACATTTAAAGTATACAACATGAAGTTTTGTATGGAATGATCAATACAGTCATGCTAACTAATATACCCATGTATTGGGATATTGAGAGGATTGAGTGGATTAATATATGCAAAACCTTTAGAGCAGTACTTGGCCCAAAGAAAGGTCTTAAAAATTCTGGGCATCATCATCATGTTACATATAACCTAGTTCAACTTTTAAAAGATTTAACTTTATGTTTGGTGATTGGACCATGTTGATCATAGAGATCACAGGATCATGATGACAGCTCTTGACAGTTTCCAGTTTGCATGAGTAAATCCTGTTAGCCAGCGAGGCTGTTTCATCCTCCACTCACACCACAGAACTGGAACGCACCTGCCGCCCATTCTTCACACTGACCCAAAAACATTGTTCAGCAAATGCCTTCCAAGCCTCCAGATGGGTCAGCACTCACAGGCCTCAGCTCCTTGTCCTCTGCATGCTGACAGGCTCAACAGCCATCATTTCTGCTGCCAGAACTGGAAAGCACCGAGGACCGTGGCCATAGCAGTCTCTTTACCATGATTTCCCCAGACACTGGTCAGAGGCCTATGCTGTGAAAGAAGCAATCAAGTATCCCTCCACAGCCTGACTCTGTATGATGTTTGGCTGGCTGGACTCTGTAAGTTTCTGTTTATGCGTGTATATACACGGCAATAATGTACTGAGTCACATTATGTGAGAAGCAATTGCTTTACTTGCATATTAACTCATTTAATTCCCACAAAAGCCTTGTGAGGGAAGCATGCCTACTACTATGTTACTGATAAAGAAACTAGACACAAAGAGGCTGAATGGCATGCAAAGCCACAGAGTGGGAACTGGTGAAGCAGCATTTACTTTCAGGGAGTCCGCTTCACTGTTTCTTTGTTTTATAGTTAAAGATGTACCTGTATGTATATGTATCTGAATATGCATACCATGTTATGCATGTACCTGTGGCAGACAGGAGGTGCCAGATCTCCTGAAACTAGAGTTAGACAGGCAGTTGTGAGCTGCCTGATATGGGGGCTGGGAACTGAACCTGGGTCCTCTGCAAGAGCAGCAAGTGCTTTTGTTGTTGTCGTTTTTTGTTTTTCAAGACAGGGATTTTCGTATAGCCCTGGCTGTCCTGGAACTCACTCTGTAGACCAGGCTGGCCTTGAACTCAGAGATCCGTGTCTCTGGCTCCCAAGTGCTGAGATTAAAGGCGTCCAACCCCACTGCCCAGCAATTTTTTTTTTTTTTTTTTTTTTTAAAGACAGCCTCCCTATGTAGCTCTGGTTGTCCTGGAACTTATTATGTAGTCTAGACTAGTTTTGAGCTCACAGAGATCCTTCTGCCCCTGCCTTCTCAGTGCTAGGAGCCATCATGCCTGGTTCAGCCAGTGCTCTTAACCAGTCCTACTAGCTGCATTCTCGACTCCTAAATCTTACTTTCATCTTCCTACCCAGCCAGAGAGCACCTCCTCATAGGGGAATGAGGCTTACTTCTCTGAGCGGCAGCTCCTAGCACAGGCAGCAGGTGCCATAAATATTTTTAGAATTGAATGTGGAGGATCAGGGGCCTTATAAAAATACCAGGACATTCGGATAGTGGTGGGTAAAGGAGGAAGAAACTAATATTGCTTGAGCACCCTACTATGGGCTAGGCCCTAGACTAAGCTCTTTTCAGACATCACCTCAGGGACCTCTGAAAGGAAAGAAGTTTTCTGATTTGATGGGCAGTGAGTCACTAGGATAAATTGGGATTTATGCCCTTCCTGCTCTCTTGGGAAGAGCTTGGAACTGATCCATGGTGAATTCTAGTTTTGGAATGTCTATCCCTGTGCCCTGGACCTGGGCCAGCAGAAAGCCGTCCCAGTAGGACCACATCAGCTGTGATTCAACAGGCAACAAGAGGTCAAGATTCAGCTGCTCACTTTCCCTCAGTGACATTTGAGAGAACTGATTAGAAAGAGCCGGAGGGATGTCTTGTTTGCAAAGAAAACCTGACTATTCCACCAGCCAACCCGACCATTCATTCTAGGTCAGTCTTAGCCTGGCCCCTATTCCAGAGGAAGGCTGGCTTCCTACTGCTGAACCTGGTAAACTTCAGGTGTACGTCATCATCAAACCCTGGCTACTGAGGTCCTCTAGGCTCAGTACATATTTATGGAACCAGTAGTTGATGCCAGGCTGAGTATAGAGGACACAGAGACACAAACAAAACAGAGTCTTGCTTTTAAAGTCCAGGCCATGAAGGATACTTTCCCTCTTGCTCTTTGCATGGGAGCTCTGGGTTAGCCTTCAGGTCTTCATAGATTCAACCATGTAGACCCTGCCAATCACACATGACCTCTGTTTCCTCTCAGAGAGGCTGCAGCCTGGGAGAATGACCAGCAATGTACTACAGTTTGGATATGAAATCTTTCAAAGCCTCATGTGTTGAAGTCTTGGCCCCCAATGCAGCACTGCCCAGAGGTGACTAGAGCATGAGATCTCCAACCTTATCAATAGATTAATTTACCAATGGACTCACAGTTGAATGCAATATTAGTTAGGAGGTGTGGTTTAGCTGGAGAAAGTAGGATCCCAAGGGAATGCCCTTAAAGGTATTGTCTTGTCTCCTTGGCTCTCTGCTTCCTGTTCACTGCATAAGCTGATTTGTTCCATCACATGCTCCCAGCCATAATGCTGTGTGTGCTTAAGCCCAGAAGTAGCAGAACCAACTGACAATGGACTGAAGCCCTTGAAACCATGAGCCAAAATAACCTTTCCTTTTTAAAGTCTATTTTCTCAGGTATTTTGTCACAGGACAGAAAGCTGCCACCATATAACAGACACCTGCTCTTTATACATGAAGATAATTTCTTTTATTTATTTATTTATTTATTTATTTATTTATTTATTTATACATGAAGATAATTTCACCACAATGGTCCCCCGGGTGGTGGTGTTGCACACCTTTAATCCCAGCACTTGGGAATCAGAGACAGGTGGATCTCTGTGAGTTCGAGGCCAGCCTGGTCTATAGAGCGAGTGTCAGGACAGCCTCCAAAGCTACACAGAGAAACCCTGTCTTGAAAAATAAAACAAAACAAACCCATAAGAAAAAACAAACAAACAAAACAACTCATTATCTATTGAACTGAAGTTCTACAGCAGGATGCATAGATTGAGAACCAGCAGAGCTGGAAGGATCCTCTGAATCCATGTGGTGGGAGATGAAAAAGATGAATGACTAATCAAACTATGCCATTCGGCTTTAGCAGGTATGAAATTTGGACACATGCTTCAATACTGACAAACCTTGAAGACAAGGTTTGCTATATGAATAAGTTGGACACAAACAGGCAAATACTACATGACTGTCCATCCAGTGCTTGAGGTTCCTAGAATGGGTGAGTTCGAATCACTTGTAACAGACAGGGAAAGTGGGGAGTGAAAATTAGCCTGTACTGAGTAGTGTCTCTGGTTGAGAAGAAAAAGTTGTGAAGATGGAAGGTGGCAATGGCTGCACACTGCAACACACATAATGTGACTGAGTTGTACACTTACAGTGCTTTTAAAAAGCTCATTGAGCTGGGCATGGTGGTGCACACCTGTAATCACAGCTCAGAAAGGCAGAGGCAGGAAGACTATTGAACGTTAAAGGCCAGTCTGGTCTACATAGCGAGTTGCAGGCCAGAACTTGTTTCAAAAATAAAAAAACAAACAAAAAGACTCCATTGACATAAATATACATACATATAATGCTAGTCACTCTTTTGAACTCTCATATTTTCATGTTTGAAATGGACCCTGCTAGTATTACTATTTACAAGTTCAAGACCAGCCTGAGCAAACAGCAAGTTTAGTTAATGTATGTAGATGTATATATGGATATAAAAATGCAGAACAGCAAATGCACTGACTAAAGGGCTACTGGTGCTCCTGCAGCAGTAGAATTATAAACAAATTTAATTTTACTATTTTGTTTTTGGACAGGGTCTCATGTAGCCCAATCTGGATTTAAACTTACTATGCAGCTCATACTGGCCTTGAACTCCTTATTCTCCAGTGTCAGCCATCTGAGTACAAGAATTACAGGTGTGAGCCACCATGCCTGGCAATTTGTTTCTTTATAAAAACCAAACAAAAAACAAATAAAAAACCCTCCAAAAATTGTCTAGTCTGTGGTAGATATTCTAAACCACTCATTCCAACAAAATACAGGTTAACCTGGATTTAAACTTTGTATAGCAGAGATCCCATAAAAATAATGAAGAACAAGTCCAAAACAAAACAAAAATACCCAAGCCAAAAGACCTGTCCATGCCAATGATGGTTCACACCTTTTAATCCCAGCACTCGGGAATCAGAGGCAGGCAGGCAGATCTCTGTGATTTTGAGGCCAGCCTGCTGTACAGGGAGTATTGCAGTACATCCAGGGCTACAGAAAGAAGCTCTATCTCAAAAAAACCAGTCCCTCCCTCACCCCCCCAAAAAAAGAAGGAATGGGTTTTTGGATCAGACTTGTTTAGCTCTGCTACCTCAAGCTTCATGACCTTGGACAAGTGACTTCACTATTCTCTGCTTCCTCTGTATTATGTGTACGTCTTAGATGACAATGTCACCCCAAAGATTCATTAATCCTGAGTTTAAACCTGCCAAGACTTAGGAACAGTGTGGCATACAGCAGGCACAAAATATGTGTTAGCTTTTACTATGTGACAGCCTTAGGTGTGTTATTTAGCTTCACTGACCTCAGCTTCCTTCTGTAAAACTGAGGACTGAAGGAATGGGTAGTTCAGTAGTAAGGACTTACCAATATGTGTCAGGTCCTGCGACTAATCCCAACATTCTCAAGATGAAATTGACAATAATAGCATTTCAGGAAATTTCTCATAGATATAATTAGTATAAAGCATGTAAAAGACAGTTGGCCAGTTGCTTACTATGCACCACAGACTTTCTGTGCTAGGAAGCCAATACTTCAGTGCTCTTCCCATTAAACCAAGGTGGAAACTGGGACCAGAGACCTGGAATGGTTTTCATTCTCCCAAGAAAGAGGCAAAGCTGGGTCTGAGCTCAGTGTTCACTCCTGTCTCTATTGTAGTCTACTGCTGGCCCACTAACTGTTAAGTGCACGACCACTCTCAATTCACATGATCCTCACCCCCTAACCTAATGTGCTTCTTCTTTTTTTTTTTTTTTTTCCCCTCAAGACAGGCTTTTTCTGTGTAGCCCTGGCTGTCATGAAAAACTCACTGTAGACAAGGCTGGCCTCAAACTCAGAGATCTGCCTCCTGAGTGCTGGGATTAATGGCACAGACCACCGTGTCTGGCTTTTAATCTGATTTATTTTGTGGTGGTGGCTGTGGTTCTATGGACAGGCCCAGGACCTCATACATGCTAGGTGAGGTCTGTAGCAGCCCCTATTCTGACATCTAAGCCCATGCCCTTTCCTGCCATGCTAGAGCAACAATGACAGATTCCCCTCGTAAGTTTATCAATCTGACGAGACCAGGGCCGGGCCATCCTCATTTTTACATACACCTTTGGTCTTTGAATATTGTGTCTCACACATGACAGACGCTCCATAAATATTTCACAGCTTGTGCCTGTGTCCTGCTAACCTATTTTTTTTTTTTTTAAATAGGGCTTATGGCACACAATTAATAAAGCCTGGCTAGTAATTATGAGGGTGACATCACTGCTCAGTCTGCACCTGAGCTGTTCCCCAGGCAATGCTTCCAGATTCACCTTGTGAAGTGGAAGATGACAGGGGAGTGATTCTCACGCCTGGAGGAGGAAATTGACACGCATGTGACTGAACTTATGTTCTTTTTATGACATCCCTTATCAGTCGAGAAACTCTTGCTCAATCTTGGGGCAGGTCAACATCCCGCTGTGTCAGGCGATGAGATGGGAACAGATCACATAGGATCCCAAGTTCAACAGACAGAACACAGTGCTTGCACCTTTGGTCTCTTACAAGAGGGTGGGGCAGAGCTGGAAAGGCCAGGAAGGAGCTAGATGCCTCTGAGCCCCAGCCTTCCCTAAACTCAGTACTGCTATCCCCTCCAAGTACCTCTGGATCCATTGTTCTTTGTAGGAGGCACTGAAGGAAATGCCTGTGAACAGCTCCGACTTATTGAAACTCACATGAAACTGGTCCCAGAATGGCCCAAAGGGATTTCCTTCCTGCAAAAAGAGTAGTGGAAAGTTTACTCAACAGGAGGGAAAACTACCTGGGGATAAGGCCAAAGAATTGCAGAGACTATGGAAGGGCTCTGGAAGATAGAAAGAATTCTTAAAGGTTGGTCCCTTGGCTAGGGGCCCAAAGGGAAGGCTGGTGCTTCTCTTTTTGGTTTCCAGCTGTGTTTGAAGGAATCTATTCTGTTCACCTGTCAAATTCCACTAACTCTGTAGTGGTAGGGCAAGGAAGACCTTGGGCTGGCACTATGAATTAGAGCAGTGGTTCTCAGCCTTCCTAATGCTGCAATCCTTTATAATACAGTTCCTCATGTTGTGGTGACACCCCGGCCCCAACCATGAGATTATTTTCATTGCCACTTCATGTAATTTTGCTACTGTTGTTGGTTTTTGTTTTTTGTTTTTTGTTTTTTTTGAGACAGGGTTTCTCTGTATTGTTTTGGAGGCTGTCCTGGAACTTGCTCTGTAGTCCAGGCTGGCCTTGAACTCACAGAGAGATGCCTGCCTCTGCCTCACAAGTGCTGGGATCAAAGGCGTGCGCCATCACTGCCCTGTGACTCCCTTATACCATTAGGACATTATCAGCACCTTCTTCAAGGAACAGTCTGAGGAGCAAAGGAGTGAATATGCATCCAGCTGCCAGCATAGAACCTGGTATGTGGGATGCTATACAGCTTTTAATTAGTATTACTGACAGCACCTACCTCAATTCTTAGGTGCTCTTACATACACCCTACTCTCTATGAGCCAGCTAGAGCAGGTAGTAACAAAGTTCAGAGAAGAACAGTGTCCCAAAAGTGGCACTGCTAACAAATGCCAGAAACAAACCAAATCACTATCTTTCCCCACATTGCCACCTCAAGGGCCTAGAGGATACAGAACAGGCTCTACCTTCATGGGACATGTCTTCTTATCAGGACTTCGCTGGGCTGCCACCTCAAAGCAGTATGCTACCCTCTTCTCAGGGGGCCAGTGGATAGGTGCCAGCTTTTCCATGAACTCCTCCAGGCTAATAACACGATGGTAGGCTTGTAGGGGCTCCAGCTTGAAATACTTCTGGTAGGACACATGGAGCTAAAGGAAAAAAAAAAAAAAGGAGGGGTATAGGTCTCCATAGTATTCTCGTCACTAAAAAGTATAAACTCTAACCCCTAGACTACGTGATATGAGAGACCTGTAGTGGGCTTTAGATCAAGCTCAGTGGTAGAAGGCCTGCCTAGCATGCATGAGGCATTAGGCTTTATCCCTGTTACAACAGCCACAACAAGACACCAAAGTTACGACAAAGACAAACTGAGAGAAGCTATCATCCAGCTCAGGAACAGCAGCACCTCCTGTGTTCAAAATGCCTGATGATCTATCTATAGGCAAAGGCAGGCAAGTGATAGAGTAAGCACACAGCAAAGGAAACCCATCCAGCCCATAGATTCAAAGGATGTGCGGTCTCACTAGTAGTCACAAAAAGGTAAGCTGCAGCTGAAAAGGCTTTACTTTTCTCACAAGAGCAGAATTTTAAAGTAAACTCTCGTCATTGGAACAAATGTACAACACTGAGCTCTAGGGCCCTCTGTACAGGGCTGCCGGTAGAATGCTTGCATGGAACAGCTACTTGGGGTTCCGGGTCCACAGCATGACATGCTCCTTATACAGGGGGTATTTATCCTGGAGAGGCTCTCATACTTTCTACAGAAGATGCAGACGGCATCATTCAGTGACTCAGTGGAAGGAAGGAAGCACAGGAAAAAAGCAGGAGTCATAAAGTCTGAGAGGGTAGTTTCTTCCAGGGAAGAAAGACCAGGTTAGCAAACTTCTCGACTTTACCTACAATGCTTTGTTTCTTTTCCTAACAGAAAAGCCAGGCATGCATGTCATCAGAAAAGCATGCATGGTGGTGCATGAATGTAATCTAACCACTTGGTGATGAGGGTGAAAGAGCAGGAGTTTAAGGCCAACCTGGGCTTTATAAACATCTGTCTCAGAAAATGAAAACAGGAAAGGAAAACAGAAATGATGAAGCAAGAAGGAGAGGAATGTGTTCATGAGGACCACTTCTAGTCAGGTGGGTTCATGGATGATGGCTATATTCAACATCATAAGTTTTTAGATTTTTTTTTTTTAAATATTGAGTCACATGTGGTATACACCTGTAATCCTAACACTTTGGAAGTAGAGGCAGGAATTAAAAGTCATTCATTCACACCTACATAGCAAATTTGAGATCAACCTGGTCTACATGAGACTGTCTCAAAAAAAAAAAAACAAAAACCAAACAAAAGAAAAAGAAATTTAATTTAAATATATTCTTAAAACATCATGGAACAGAATTTGGATTCCATTCTACAGGCAAAGGTTTCTCAAGCATATCCCAATAGTTCAGGTGCAGTAAAAAGGTTGCAGAGCTGCAGGTATGGTAGTGCATGCAATTAATCCCAGCACTCAGGAGGCAGAGACAGGTGGTTCTCTATGAGTTCTGGGCCACCCTGGTCTACAGACTGAGTTCCAGGACAGCCAGGGCTACACAGTGACATCCTGTCTCAAAAAATAAACATATAGCTGGGTGGTAGTGGCACATACCTTTTATCCCATCACTCGGGAGGCAGAGGCAGGAGGATCTTTGTGAGTTCGAGTCCAGCCTGGTCTACAAGAGCTAGTTCCAGGACAGCCTCCAAAGCCACAGAGAAACCCTGTCTCGAAAAACAAAACAAAACAACAAACAAGCATATACATAAATAAATAAACAAACAAATAAGGCTCCAGCGTTGAGGAGACTTAGGAAACTCTGTTTTAAACTGGCTTCTTTACTGCAGCAGGACTTCTCAGGCCTTTGCTGTGCTACTGCATATTCTCAATCGAAAAGCTGGGAGAGTGGAAATTGGGACTAGCATTTCTGAAACTAGACTGGAATTTTTTAAGATACAGGGTCTCGCTATATGTTCTTAGCTAGCCTGGTACTTGTATGTAGTTCCAACTGGCCTTGAGTTTACAATCTTCCTGCCTTAGCCTCCAAGTGCTAGATTTATAGGCCTTCATCACAGCTGGCATGCTTGCCTTTTGGGGAAGAATTGATTTGCTGAAAGAGAAGAAAATTCACCGGCCATTTAAGATCAGAAGAGGAAAGGAAATTCCAGTATAGCCAGGGCTACACAGAGAAACCCTGTCTCAAAAACAAAACAAAACAAAACAAAAACAAGATCAGAAGAGGAAGGGGAATTACGAAGCTACTATAATGATCCTTGTATATGTTCAAGAAAACATTATTTAATCACTTAGTTTTATTAAAAAAAAAAAAAAATTACAGACATCCCCATGTAGCCCAGGTTGGACTTAAGCTCAAAGCAATCTTCCTACTTCGGCTTCCCAAGTAGGAATTCTGGCTCATGCCAGAATTATAGGCATGAGCCACCACAGCCAGCTTATTAAGCATGCAGTTAACAATGTACCTCCCATACATGTAAGTGAGACGAAGTGGTCTAGACACAGAAGAAGGTGAAGATGAGGCTTTGAGAGCTGAGTGTATACTCAGAAGGGGCATTTAGGATGAAAACTACAATCCCAGCTTGGTGCCCAGGTAAATAGAGATGGTGTATACTGAGGCTGGAATTGCAGATGGTGACACAGAGCTCCAGCTTTCTGAATCTGATCTGGTCAGGGTAGAATCTGTACCCGAGGTGTACTGGAGGTGTAAGGCAAACAGTGAAAGCCGTGCCAGTCAACACGAACCTGAAACAAAGCAAGGCAATGGTAACAACAGTAGCTTCTATTCACTGAGTGCTGACTTAGTGCTAGGTACTGTACTCAGCCTTTTATAAGGATCTGCTCATCTGACTCATCTGAGCCACAGGGCTAACACCAAGCAGAGGGAGGACATGCACCAACAGAATCCTGAGTGAAGAGAGGAGCCCCAACTGAGGCACAAAAAATGGCACCTTGCTGAAGTCAGGACTGCAGAAGGAATAAGCAATGTCCTGGAAGCCAGGAGAGGAGGGAAGTTTAGGAAGAGGAGAAGCTCATAGGATGAGGAGCCACTGGTCAGGTAAGACACAGCTTGAGAAATGAACCTTGGTTTGGCAATTCTGAGCACCCTGGTGAACTCAGTGAGAATAGTCAATTTAGGAACTGGACGCTCACTTGAGACAGGTTGAGAAACCTATAGAAGGCAAAGAAGTGGACACTTAGTATGACAACTGGCAGAGGCTAGGATACAGCAAGCCAGCAAGACAGAGACAAATGAGCAAAATCTAAATCTATCAGTGAAGCCTAACAAGTCACATCTGAGGATCCCAGAATCTGAGGAACTTGTGTCCTGCTTCTATACACTTAGGAGCCCAACTGATTCTAAGAGGAAGGAATGAGGCAGGGTCAAAGCACTTACTGTCAGTGGCTCATTCAGTCCTCGTCTTTACAACATGAGGAAACTGAGGCATAGAAAGATTAAGTAGTTTGCCCAGGCTATATAATTAGGAAATGACTAAGTTAAGTTGCAATCTACAGTCTGGGTTTTTATTTCTGTTAAAAAGCTTTTCAGGAACAGCCAGGCAGTGGTGGTACATGCCTTTAAGCCCAGCACTCAGGAGGCAGAGGCAGGCAGATTTCTATGAGTTCGAAGCCAGCCTGGACTACAGAGTGAGTTTCAAGACAGGCTCCAAAGCTACACCGAGAAACCCTGTCTCAAAAAAAAAAAAAAAAAAAAAGTTTTTCAGGGGTAGGGGTGCAGCTTGGTGATAGAGCATTTCCCTAGGAGTTGTCAGACCTGGTTCCAATCCCTATGCCTACTGAAGGGAGGGTGGAAGCCTTTCCAAAAAGAGGTTTGTATATAAAGGAGAAAATAAAATATACGCAGAGAAAAAGCATTGGAATTAAATATGGTATTTTGTTCATGCTAAGTATAATTTTGTTAACTACTTAAACTTTTTTTTTCAAGACAGGGTTTCTCTGTGTAGCTTTGGAGCCTATCCTGGCACTCGCTCTGGAGACCAGGCTGGCCTTGAACTCACAGAAATCCGCCTGCCTCTGCCTCCAGAGTGCTGGGATTACAGGCATGCAATGCCCAGTTTAAACTTTTAAAGTCAATTCATTAAATACTAAATTCCTTCATCCAGGTCCCTGGGGACACAGTGAACAAAAGGAAACAGAGGGCCATTGGAAGACACAAAGAATAAACAAAGTATCAGAGGACGATGAGAACATCATGCCCAGGGAGCCCCTGATTGGATGAGAGCCAGCTGCCTGAGATGGTAGCCTTAGACAACTAAGCCATGCCTCAATCTCTTTTTTAAAATTGATATGAGCACTTATCACCTATTATTGACCAATAGGATGTACATATATAAGGTGGGATGAATTAGGACTGGAAATGGAGGCTTTGGTTAAGGGTTGAATGCAAGTACTACCCACAGGCTGTTCAATCTTGGGCAAGTTACTCATCCCTCTATACCTGGGTTTCCTCGGGGATGAGCTGCAGGAAAGATGAGCTAATCCTCATGCAGTGTTCAGACAGTGCCAGCACATGGCAGGTATTGGGTATAAAAGTCACTATGTCAAGGAAGACAATTCTAAGTAAAGAACAGAACAAGCCTAGAGTGGAAGGAAAACCCAGAGGCCTTGGAGTCAAGTAAGTCAGCCAGTCCAGGGAAGGGTGAACAGGGGCCAAGGTCATCGTAAGTACTCACATTAGTGAAAGGAGGTTTGTGATGCTGGTACTCAATCCATGGAGGTACAGCCAAGGTGCGGTTCAGCAGCTTTGCAAAAGCCAGAGAGCCCAAGAAGTGATCGGCCTGGTTCCCAAAGCGCCCTGGAAACGGAACATTGTGGGTAGAGTGGCCTGGCCCACTAAGGGCATAGTGTATGAAAAGGCTCAGGTGCATCCAAGATGGTCGAGGGCCAACTCACCAAATCAAACTGGTGACACTGGCACCTAAGAGAAAGTCCAGACCTCCGTGCTTGATATTCAAGGCCCTCCAGGTCCTGTTCCTTCTACCTCAGCCACCCCAAACTCCATGATAGTTCCCTAACATGCTCTATAATATCTTCTCTACCTGTTTTCTTTGCCAGGAATTTCCTTTACCTGTCTCCACTTACTTAAACATGGTGACCCTGGTGCCTTATTTGCTAAGATACTTTCATCAACTCCTATCCAGTTCTCTTGCTCTCAGCATGGTTTGAGTTACTTTTTTTTTTTTTTGAGACAGGATCTGTGCAGTCCTGGCTGGCCTGGAACTTGTTCTATAGACCAGGCTGTCCTTGAACTTGTGACAATTTTCCTGCCTCTACCTCTTAAGTGCTAGGATTATAGCTGTGTGATCAGATTATGTATTTATTTATGTGCTGGGGATTTATTTAACCTAGGATCTTAAACATGCTGGGTGCTTTACCACTGAGCTATAGCCACTTGGGTTATTTGCATCGTCATTTCCCCATCAAATGTCTTTTTTCACTTTCTGACTGCATCTGCTGTAATCAGTTTCTTTTCTTTCTTTCTTTTTTTTTTTTTTTTGTTTCTTTTTTTGCCAGATTCTCACTATGTAGTACTTACTGGCTGCTCTGGAACTCTCTGAGTAGATCAGGCTGGCCTTAAACTCACAGAAATCCACCTGCCTCTGGCTTCTGGTGCTGAGATTAAAGTTGTATGCAACCACACTTAGCTATCATCAATATGGCATCCATTCATCTATTGCAAAAGTACTGCAAGGCCAAAATGTGCCAGATGTTACAATATAAAATGTTAGATGTTACAATACAAAATCAAGCAAGGATAAGATCTCTGCTCTCCAGGCACTCAGTCCTAATTCAGGTAAAGAGACACTACACATGAAAACAAATTCATTAAGATAGACTTTGATAGTTGCAAGGAAGAAACCGAAAACTTTTGGTGATGGGGAGACTAAGGAAATCACTTGAGTAGAGGTCAATGGATAGTCCAAGAATGGAGGGGTGGGGGCAGACAGAAATTAGAGAGTGTTCCAGGAAGAAGGAATAGCTCATAGACCTGTGTGTGTGTGTGAAGAACAGAAGAAAGCAGGCTAGTGTGACTGTAGCTGGAGGGCCAAGGGAGAAGGGGTGTGGAGAAGACCAGAGTGGAGCCAAATCATGCAAGATGGTGGCCACGGTAAGGTATGCAAACCACGGTAGGGTTGTAAGAAGGAATGAATTCTACAGTGATGATCCACTACTTCATTTAAATTGCATCCCTGGCCTAGTTCTCTTAAGAGTCCTTGTTATCTTTTAGTACCTCAGTTTTTATCATCTTGTATCAAATTATTCACGTACTTTAAAAAAAAACTTTATTTTATTGTCGGTCTCCCTAAATGAAGGATCTACAAGGGTATGAATGAGGTTTATCTGTCTCATTCATCACCAACACAGAAGCCAGTGCCTGGGACAATAAAAAAAAAAAGTGGCACATAAATATTTGCTGAATGAATGTAAGAACTGCCACGAGACAGCGCGTCTTGCCCTACAAACTCCATTTACTGGTCTCCTAGTCGGATTAGACCTGAGTGAGTCACTTAGCTTCTCCCGTCCGACGAGTGGCAAATTGAACGCTGCTGGCCCTTCTGTTCCCATGCAACTGGGGCAGCGAAAAGCATGCTCTGCCCCACATCGGAAGTGTCTCCGGGACCTGACGAGGCGTCTCTAGGCGCCCCGCAGAGGCGGCTCCGCCTCCCCGGCCGGCCTCAGTTTCTCCTTTGGAGCAGGGGGCTCGAGAGGCCTTACCCATGCAGGGACAGTAGAGCAGGTAACCGGCCAGGTCCCAGGAGCCCGCCAACCGCCCCCGGAGCGGCAGCAGTAGCAGAAGCAGGAGAGACACCCGCAGCAGCAGGTGTGGCGGTGCCCACGCGGCGGCGCCCATGTCGGCGGCGGAGCCCCAGAGCGTCGCGGCTGGGAGGCGGGGAGGGGGAAAACAGAGGCGCG